CCGGATTCTTTGCAATCGCAATAGCTGATCGATTATCACAAAAAATCTCAGTAGCCTTCGTCTGCTCTTGCTCCAAGTCAGCTAGAAGCCTTCTCAGCCATACTCCCTGGCATGCCGAAGAAGTAGCAGCCACATACTCTGCCTCTGCTGTCGAAAGTGCTGTTACACCTTGCTTCTTGGAGCTCCACGTCACAGCTCCTGACCCAAGATTAAAAATGAAGCCTGAAGTACTTCGCCTATCATCCACGGAACCTGCCCAATCACTGTCCGTGAACCCAACCAACTCAAATTTATCAACATTTGAGTACCAAATACCGAAATCTTGAGTTCCAGCTATATAGCGTAGAATCCTTTTTGCAGCTCCATAATGTTGACGTGTTGGATTGTGCATAAATCGGGAAACCATACCAACGGCGAAGGCAATATCGGGTCTCGTATGCGTTAAATAAATCAAACCTCCAACCAGACTACGAAAGCTTACTGCATCAGCTTTCTTTGTTCCATCTTCTTGCTGCAATTTTTCATTCATATTCATGGGAGTAATTGCAGCTTTGCAATTTTTCATATTAAAGCGTTTGAGAAGATCCTCGGCATATTTTTTCTGGGAGACGAACACTCCATCTTCTCCTTGCTTAATTTCCAACCCAAGAAAATAACTAAGCAGCCCCAAATCTGTCATCTCAAACATAATCATCATACTCTCTTTGAACTCATGAACAATAGAGTAAGATGATCCCATATAGATGATATCATCAACAAACAAGGAGCAAACTACCTTTACCTCCTTTCTTTGCATATAACGTAGGCTCATTAGCACTTCTGTCAAACCCATTTTGTTGGAAAAATGAGTCGAGCTTGCTGTACCATGCTCGCGAAGCTTGCTTCAATCCGTATAAGGCTTTCTTCAACCGATAAACCTTATCCTCCATTCCTTCAACGACAAATCCTTCCGGCTGCATGACATAGACTTCCTCCTCCAAGTCTCCGTTTAGAAACGCAGACTTAACATCAAGTTGATAGAGAGGCCACTTAAGATGAGCAGCCAAGGCCAAAAACATTCTCACTGTTTCAAAGCGAGCAACAGGAGAGAACGTTTCCTCGTAGTCGATGCCTTGCTGTTTGGTGAGGTGTGAGGCGTAGTTGGAGGAGTAGAGTTTGGAGTAGTATTTGGTGAGTTGGTGGGGCTGTTCTGTGGTGAATTCTCACAAGAATCTGCATCACTTGAGTCCAGCGGAAAGAGAGTATATGAATCATCTTGCTTGGTCTCCCAATCCCAACAAGCATCTTCATGGAAAATGACGTCTCTGCTGATAATAACTTTGCCACTAAGAGGGTTATATAGCTTGTATGCTTTGGATTGAGAAGAGTATCCAATGAAGATACACT